TTATTTCGTTAGATGCATCTGGGTCCATTATTTCGTTAGATGCATCTGGGTCCGGTATTTCGTTAGATGCATCTGGGTCCATTATTTCGTTAGGTGCATCTGGGTCCGGTATTTCGTTGGATGCATCTGGGTCCGGTATTTCGTTAGATGCATCTGGGTCCATTATTTCGTTAGATGCATCTGGGTCCGGTATTTCGTTAGATGCATGATTTCGCTGCATTCGTGGTTGTATCTCGACGTTCATCTGTTGCTGTTTGCTTCGTTTCAGGCTGCCGGCTCCACGCTCATTCTCACCTGGATTCCGAACGCCACGCTAAAGCGCAACCCCCACAGTATCGATGCCCATACCCCTGGCGGATCTCCCCTGCGCAGCCTCGTCGGGGTCAGCCCGTCGGGGTCGCCGAGGCTGTCTCGCTGCGACAGCGCCGCGTCACGAGTGTCGGTGAATAGCGAGCCAGGTGCGTGGTGCGGGCGGGGCATAGATAGCTGGGTCAACGGTGACGATTAGGTCGCGAAAGTGCACCTACGGAGTAGATCGATTCGTACCTGGGAACTGAATTGATCGATTCGTCTGAGTGAAATAGCCACGCCATGATTTTTCTGCTAGATCAGTCAAACTAGACTAGTTTATGTGTTTATCACGTGTGTGCGGCGAATTGTCGACCTTACGGCATTTCGTTGCTGAGCCTTGTCTTTTATAACGTCGTATTGCAACATTAATTCGCTAGAGGTGCCTGTCAGTCACTGCAGGTGTGCTAATTCAGTTTGTGAAGGCGTGAAAGTAGCACGTATTTTATATATATATATATATATATATACATACATAATATATGAATGGGTGTATAAATGTATTAGAGTGAAGTTCAGTAAACGGTTGTGATGACGTGCATGGGTGATGCCTATTGCAGGCAAGGAGTTGACATCACCGGACCAGGAATACAGGAGTCTGGACAGCTGGGCGTCTGTCACTGTGCCGTGCAGTGCGCGCCGGGGATGCCCACGTAACAGCAGGGACTGCACGAAGAGCATCACGTCGCAGGCAGGTAGGAATCGACGTTAATCCGTCGTCCGATTTGCCTTTTACGGAGTGTGATCGTTGCTCTGTGGCGATGACGTGGTTCTAACATCTACATCGGCTGAACACACAATTCTAGTTCTGTATGATAGTCGCTGGTGTGTACCATCTGAAAGATTTGCTGAGCTTAGCGTTGCTGGCTAGCTAGGTAGGGTTAAGGTGGTAGTTAGGGCTAGAGATTATAGTTACGGGTTAGGTTAGAGTTGGGGTTATGGTTAGTGTTATGTAATGTTTGGAGTTAGTGTAAGGTTTGGGGTTAGGGATAACCTCAGGGTTAGCCACAGGTAGGCACGTGCATCTTTGTGCCATACATTAATTACGTATACAGGTATTCGCACCTGCGTAACTAACGTGTGCATTTCACATTCCTCAGACTCCGGCATCGGAGCCGAGGATCTGCCGAAGATGGTGTTGACGGTTGCCAGCGGCGACGCGAATGGCACGAACATCAGCCCCGACACCGAGTCCTCACAGAGCAGCGGCATTCACGAGGAAGCACCCCCTGGTGGTGCGACCGCGCAGCCGACGATCGCTCGCGGCGGCGGTGCGCTGACGGACAGATGCAACGGTTATGGCGAGAACGAACGAGAGGCGCTGATCCACAACGGAGATAAGACGGACGCGTGCTCGGCCGCGACCCCTGACCCCGGTGCGCAGTCGCCGACGTCGTCACGAATCGAACAACATCGCCAAAACCAACAACAACAACAACAACAACACCAACAACAACAACAACAACAAAAACAACAACAACAGCAACAGTCGAACGTGCCTGAAATCTGTGAAAGTGCCACCGATCATCCGGCTAACGGCCGCGTTGATGACACAGGAGCGCCCCCTGATGGTGATGCCATCAATGCCAATGGAGCGCCCCCTGATGGTGATGCCCTCAATGCCAATGGAGCGCCCCCTGATTGCGACACCATCAATTCCAATGGAGCGACCCCTGGTGGCGATGCCATCAATGCCAACGGAGCGCCTCCTGGTGGTAATGTCGCAAACTACGCGAGCGTGCTCAAGGAGGTGCGCAAGGAGACGAAGCGACTCATCCTGAACCTCGAGATGGACGCCGACAATAACTCCGCCGCCGCCCAGCAGATGGCGCTCACGCCCGACATCGAGATCAGTCCGGAGACGGACGAATCCGACGACGACGACGACGACGGCACGGACAGCTCGTCGACGCGGACGAGCCACGGGCCTGACTCGCTGCCGCCGTCCCTGCCCGACTCGCCGGTGATGTCCTACCTGAAGCGCAACCCGATCCTGCAGGACAACCCGGAGAGCATCGCGCTCTCGCAGAGCCTCGGCAGCAGCTTCCACGAGGCCGGCGGCGGCGGCGGCGCGCACTTCTCACAGTACAGCCCGGGTAACCGGACGCCGCGCGAGCACGCGCTCGGCGTGTTCTCCGTCAACCTGCGTAAGTTTGTTCGTCTGTCAGTCGGTCCGTCGGTCACTTTGTCTGTCCCTCCTTTAAGCGGTATGTCCATCCGTCTATTGACCGTCCTTCTGTCTGTCCAGTTGTTTGTTGATCCATCATCTATTTTCTCTCCTTGTGTCCGCTCGCTTGTCTGTCCTTCTCCCATGCATCTTTTCGTCCGTCTTTCCACGCCTCCTCCGTGCATCCCTTCCTTCGTCCGTTCTTCCATGCCTTCATACATTCCTTCCTCCGTCCGTCCTTCCATGCCTCCTTGCATCCCTTCCTCCGTCCGTCCTTCCGTGCCTCCATGCATCCCTTCCTCCGTCCGTCCTTCCATGCCTCCGTGCATCCCTTCCTCCGTCCGTCCTTCCATGCCTCCATGCATGTGCTAGCAGGCTAGGCCGAGGATGATCAAAGAGACACCGCCACTTTGCCTGCGCGCCGCACACATCTAGCACGCGCTCTCGATTTGCGGAAAGTTACCATCATAATGTCGTCGGCTAGTTTTCATACGAGAGCTGATCCGTCACTGCACGCGCAAGCTTAGTGCACGCGCCAGATGCGGAGGCTGAAAGGGAAGATGAGGAGGATAGCGGCGGGATTGTAATCTCGTATTGTTGCTGTTTCGTGGTCCCGCCGGCGCCCCCCCCCCTTCTCCGTGAATCTAGGTCCGCGGCAACCCGCAGACGTGCGGTTAGCGGCATGCTGTGATTCAACTAGTGTAGAAATGCTCGCGCTCATGGCGCGTGTGGCGTTCAGGGCAAGATCAAAGGCGTTGCATCGTACGTATCTGCGCGGATGCCTAATATGGACGAGTGCTTGCGTGCGTGCGTGTGTGCGTGCGTGCGTGTGTACGTGCGTGCGCTCGTACGTGTGCGCGCATGTGGGTGAAAGTATAATGCAAACGCGCGCGCGCGTGTGTGTGTGTGCGTGCGTGCGTGCGTGCGTGCGTGCGTGCGTGTGTGTGTCTGTGTTGCTGCATGCGTGTGCGCGTGCATGTGCGTGCATGTGTGTGCTAGCTTTTCTACTCAACTGACACAGTTTCGGCCGTCTCTGTTGCGTGCTCTCCTCATGTGTCTCGCGTGCGGCTAGCTGGTGTATCTGATGCATCCGGTGTATCCGGTGTATCCGGTGTATCCGGTATATCTGGTGTATCTGGTGTATCTGGTGTATCTGGTGTATGTGGTGTATCTGGTGTATCCGGTGTATCCGGTGTATCCGGTGTATCCGGTGTATCCGGTGTATCTGGTGTATCTGGTGTATCTGGTGTATCCGGTGTATCCGGTGTATCTGGTGTATGTGGTGTATGTGGTGTATCTGGTGTATGTGGTGTATGTGGTGTATGTGGTGTATCTGGTGTATCTGGTGTATCTGGTGTATGTGGTGTATGTGGTGTATGTGGTGTATGTGGTGTATGTGGTGTATCTGGTGTATCTGGTGTATCTGGTGTATGTGGTGTATCTGGTGTATCTGTTGTATCTGGTGTATCTGGTGTATGTGGTGTATGTGGTGTATGTGGTGTATGTGGTGTAT